TCACCTTATCTATGTCCCTTTTTGATTTTATAAACCTCTATAAGGTCTCCCCTCGGCCTCCAGGGAAAAGAGTCCCAGCCTATCCCTATAACTCTTATCCTCCAGACCCAGTAACATCCCTGTAAAACCTTTTCTGCATCCTTTCTAGTTTAACAACATCCTTCCTCTTAGCAGGGGCTGGAATCCAAACCCTGGTCCCTGGCACAATGTGACAGAAATGCTAACCACTGAGCCAACATGCTGCCCAATTGCTTCAATAGTTGGCAGCTAGGGGAATCCAGGGTTACTGGGCGTAGACGAGATTGTGGAATTTGAAAAACAAACAGATCTTATTGAATAGTGGAGGAGGTTTGAGGGCCAAAATGATCTGCTTCAGCTCCTATTTCATCTTTCAAAATATACAATTGCAAGTTCTTTTCAGAAGGGAGCTACCTGAGGATGAAGCATGGTAAAATATAAAATGAGGAGACCAAAGTGTAATATATCCTGGTGTTAATGGCAATACATTACAAGGAAAGGAAAGTAATCTGTGAACAGAATGCAGAGAGACTGCATTGACTGAACAAAGGGTAGAGGATGGAATATAATGAAGGGAGATGTGGAAGAACCCACTGTGATAGGAAGAGTAGAAAAGCTGGATATTTCTTTAAATAATGAGAGACTATTAGAGAGATTCAAACATTTTTACAAACTGAGATGTCATTTTGAGATTGCAAAGGATGTTGGTGAGGCCAGTTTTGGAGTACTGTGTCCCGTTCTGCTCACCTTACTTCAGGAAGAATATTATTAAACTGGAGAACGTTCAGAAAAGATTTACCAGGACATTGCTGGGAATGGAGGGTTTGAGTTATAACGAGAGGCTGGATAGGCTGGGACCTTTTTTCACTGGAGTATAGGAGATTGAGGGGTGATCTTATAGAGATTTATGAAATGATGAGGGGCATAGATAAGGTAAATGTCAGATGTCTTTTCTCTAGGGTGGGAGATTTCAAGACTGGGGGCATATTTTTAAGGTGAGAGGGGAATGATTTATAAAATACATGAGAAGCAATGTTTTCATAGAGAGTGGTTTGTGTGTGGAATAAACCTCCAGAGGAAGTGGTGGATGTGGGTACAGTTGCAACATTTAAAAGACATTTGGATAAGTACATGAATAAGAAATGTTTGGAGGAGTATAGGCCAAGTACAGGCAGGTGGGACTAGTTTAGTTTGGGAACATGTTTGGCATAGACTGGTTAGACCAAAGTGTCTGTTTGCCTGCTGTATGACTCTATAACTCTATAAAGTTGGCATGCAAGAATCTCAATCCAAGATGGCCTTTCTTGCAAAGGATTAGAATACAATGGTAAGAAGGTCTTGCTGTAATTATTCCAGGTTTTGTGGTGTAGTATACAGTTTTGGTCTCCAGGGAAAGGTTGTATTGGCCATAGAGTGGTATAACAAAATTCACTTGTGATTGCTGAGATAAGATGGCCTGCCTATTGAGGACAAATTGAATGGAATCAACCCACAGTTCCCTCAAGTCTAGAAGATAAGAAATGATTTGATTGCAATGTATAAATTCTTAAGGGGCTTGTCAAAGTGGATGCTGAAAGACTATTAGACCGGCTGGAGAATTTTTGGATTATAGACAAAGAAAGTTGTGAGTCTGAGGAATTCTCTCCCCTAGATATGCAAAACTGAGGTTGATAGATACATGGGCATGACACAAAATAGGGACTATAGGATAGAATGGGTAGGGGTAGTTAACAATGAAATTCAATCATGATCCAATGGAACAGCAGAGCTGTTTCCAGGGCTGGTTCTGGGTTTTAGGTTACTCTACAAATAATACTTGTGAAGTGGCCTATCTCTGCACTTGAAATACTTTATATTGTTTCAGAGTCAGTCTGGAATATTAAGAATATAAGTAAGGCCCCTGATACTCAATGACATCACCAGAAGTGAAGCCCCCCTTATCAACATCATTAGGGTTACCGTTGACCAGAAACTGAACTGGACGAGCCACATACACTCAGCAACTACAAGAGCAGGTCAGATTCTGAGATGAGTAACTGACCTCCTGACTCCCCAAGGCCTGCACACAGTCTCCAAGACACAAGTCAGGAGGGTGATAGAATATTCCTCACTTGCCTAGACAGGTGCACCTCCAACAAAACTCAAAAAGCTTGGCACCATCCAGGACAAAGCAGCCCCCATTTGATTAGCACCATTTAGTCATAGAGTCATATAGTACGGAAACAGGCCCTTCTGCCCAACTCGTCCATGCTAACCAGGTTTCCTAAACTGAACTAGTCCTATTGGCCTGTGTTTGGCCCATATCCCTCTAAACCTTTCCCATGCGCATACTTGTCTGAATGACTTTTAAATGTTGTAATTCTGGTGTGAAAAGGGTTTCCCTCGGGTCCCTTTTAAATCTTTCACCTCCCACCTTAAACCTACGCCCTTTAGTTTGGACTCCCCTGCCCTGGGGCCAAAATCTGTTCTATTCACCGTATCCATGCCCCTTACGATTTTATAAACCTCTATAAGGTCACTCCATAGCCTCCGACGCTCCAGGGAAAGAAATCCCAACCTGTTCCGCCTCTCATTGAGTCCTAGAGTCCTACAGCACAGAGACAGGCCCTTTGGCCCAAACAGGTCCATGCCGACCAATATGTCTATCCACACTAACCCCATTTCCCTGCACTTGACCCATGTCCTTCTAAACCTGCCCTCGCCATGTATTTGTCCAAATGCCTTTTAAATGTTGTTAATGTACCCACAACAACCACTTCTCTTGGCAGCTCATTCTATATGCATAACACCCTCTGTGTAAAAAAGTTGCCCCTCAGGGGCCCATTTATTCTTTCCCCTCTTACCCTAAACTGATGCCCTCTCGTCCTCAATACCCCAACCCTGGGAAAAGGACTGAGTGCATTCACCCTGTTCATGCCTCTATATACACTTCTATAAGATTGCCCCTCAGTCTCCTAAGCTCTAAAGAAAAAGTCCTAGCTTGTCCAACCTCTCTCTATAAATCAGCCCCTTGAGTCCTGGCAACATTCTTGTAAATTTCTTCTGCAATCTTTCCAGTTTAATAACATCCTTCCTGTAGCAAGATGACAAAACTGAACACAATACTCCAAGTGGCCTCACGAACATCCTGTATAACTGCAATATAACTTCCCAACTTCTGTACTCAGTGCCGTGGCTGATCAAGACCAGTGTGCCAAACGCCTTCTTCACTGCCCTGTCTACCTGTGACTCCACTTTCAGAGAACCGTGCACCTGAACTCCAAGTTCCACAACACTCCTTAAGGCCCTACTATTCACCATGGAACTCCTACCTTGATTTGACTTTCCAAAATGCAACACCTCACACTTATCTATATTAAACCCCATTAGCCATTTCTCGGCCCATTTCCCCAGCTGATCAAGATCCTGCTGCAATTACTGATAGCCTTCCTCACAGTCCATGATACCACCTATTTTACTCTAATCTACAAGCCTACTAATCATGCCTTGTACATTCTCATCCAAATCATTGATATAGATAATAAACAGCAATGGGCCCAGCACTGACCCCTGAGGCACACCACTCATCACAGGCCTCCAGTCAGACAAGCATTCTTTCAGTATTACCGTCTGCTTCCTACAAACAAGCCAATTGTGTATCCAATTTGCCAGCTCTCCCTGGATTCCATGCGATCTAACCTTCCAGAGCAGCCTACCATGTGGAACCTTATCAAAAACTTTACTGAAATCCATATAGACTACATCTACTGCCCTGCCCTCATCAATCTTCCCACAAGTTCTTCTCCAGCCTCTTACAGGGTTCTTAGATATATCTGATCAGGACCAAGAGATTTATCCACCTTCGTACATTCTAATACTTTCAACACCTCCTGTACTATGATATGGGCTGTCCCCAAGATATTGCCAAAAACTTCCCCAAGTTCGCAAGACTTCATGCTTTTCTGCACGGTAAACACAGTCGAGAAATATTCATTGAGGACCTGATCCATCTCATACAGTTCCCCACATACATGTCCACTTTGGTCCTAGTTATTCTTTTTCCTTTATCTCTGCATAGATAAGCTGCAGAGCTGGGCTGAGAGGTGGCAAATGGAGTTTAATGCGGAAAAGTGTGAGGTGATTCACTTTGGAAGGACTAACAAGAATACAGAGTACTGGGCTAATGGTAAGATTCTTGGTAGTGTGGATGAGCAGAAAGATCTCGGTGTCCATGTGCATAGATCACTGAAAGTTGCCACCCAGGTTGATAGCGTTGTTAAGAAGGCGTACAGTATGTTAGGTTTTATTGGTAGAGGGATTGAGTTTCGGAGCCATGAGGTCATGTTGCAGCTGTACAAAACTCTGGTGTGGCCGCACTTGGAGTATTGCGTACAGTTCTGGTCACCACATTATAGGAAGGATGTGGAAGCATTGGAAAGGGTGCAGAGGAGATTTACCAGGCTGTTGCCTGGTATGGAGGGAAGGTCTTATGAGGAAAGGCTGAGGGTTTTGAGGCTGTTTTCGTTAGAGAGAAGAAGGTTAAGAGGTGACTTGATAGAGACATACAAGATGATCAGAGGATTAGATAGGGTGGACAGTGGGAGCCTTTTTCCTCGGATGGTGATGGCTAGCATGAGGGGACATAGCTTTAAATTGAGGGGTGATAGATATAGGACAGATGTCAGAGGTAGGTTCTTTACTCAGAGAGTAGTAAGGGCGTGGAATGCCCTGCCTGCAAAAATAGTAGACTCGCCCACTTTAAGGGCATTTAAATGGTCATTGGATAAACATATGGATGATAATGGAATAGTTTAGGTTAGATGGGCTTCAGATTGGTTTCACAGGTCGTCGCAACATCGAGGGCCGAAGGGCCTGTACTGCGCTGTAATGTTCTATGTTCTATGTTCTATGTTCTCCTTTTAACTCGAATCTTTGAGCCTCAGTAATATCTTTGTCAATCTTTTCTGCTCCCTTTCCAGTTTAATAACATCTTTCCTATAACAGGGCGACCTGAATTGTCCACAGTATTCCAAATGTGACCTCACCAATGTCTCGTACAGCTGTAACAGGATGTCCCAACTCCTGTACTCAGTGCTCTGACCAATGAAGGTAAGCATGTCAAATGCCTTCATCAACACCCTGTCTACCTGTGACAATATAAATCTCAAATTAAAAGTTAGCCCAATAGCGATACAGTTGATGGTCATAAATGTCCATCTGGTTCAATAACATCTTTTGGTGAAGGAAATCTGCCATCCCTACCTGGTCTGGCTTACATACTACAGCAATGTGATTGGCTCTAAACTGTCCTCTGGGCAATTAGGAAAAGGCAATAAGTACTGGCCTAGCTAGAAATTACCACGTCCCGTGAATGAATAAAAGAAAAGTTTGTCTGAAATGTGCCTTACGTCAAACAAAATGGAAGCACGGGAGTGCAGTATTTATGTAAAAAAAAGTCTTTAGTTTTTAATTTGCTCACACCTTACGATCAGCGTTCCCTCTAATTTTCTTTCCGGTTATATGAGCCTATGGAACCCATGCACGGGATTGACTTCTGGAATCATGCATGCGAATACTGATCACCATGGTGCGGAATGTCACAGTGGCTGTGTGTGGGCACTTTAGAGGGAATTTTGCTTACATTGGCCTGACCTTGCATTGGAAAACATTGGGAGTTTGCTGTCAAAAAGTCTGTGTAAACCTTTTCTGCTCAGCGTGCTGACTTTGGGACAAGTGCTGTAGAATCCACCACGTCTGCAGTGCAGTCTCTCACGTCTTGCGTGTTTTTATGCTCCAGTGAGTAATCTCCATGACCTTTCCAGTTTCAGTTCGGGAGGCAGACAGGTAAATGAGCAGGAGTTCTTCAGGATCATCAGGATGAAAATCTTCCTTTTCTTCTGTCGACATGGTCTGTCCATTTTCCTGATTCATGCCTCAATAGGTCCTCCAGGTGGTTTTGTTAGCCCCATGCTGCATGCATTGTGGCCTGACCTTCATAAAAATAAAATTACTTCTTGGGTTCTCCTACCATGGCCACATTGGCACAGACCATAGCAGCGACGTGTGCCTTGGCTTTGATTTCCACGTTTACACGCTTCATCTTTAAACATTAAAGAGCAAACTAGCAAAAGACAGACAGTCAGGTTTCACCCACATGAAAAAACGTCTCTTGATCTGTACTCATGCAGCTCTTGGCGAGCCCATTTTGCAGTCATCACTGCTGGCTTGCCTATGACTTCACACTAGATAGCACTCTTATAGGGTGGCCTGGTGAGTTAACCCTGCTGCCTCATGGCACCAGAGACCTGGGTCCAATTCTACCCTTGGGCAACTGTCCGTGTGGAGTTTGCATGTTCTCCCCATGTCTTTGTGGATTTCCTCCCACAGTCCAAAGATGTTCTGAGGAAGAGTCATTGGACCCAAAATGTTACCTCTGAATTTTTCTTCACAGATGATGTCAGACCTGCTGAGCTTTTCCAGCAACTTCTGTTTTTGTTCCAAAGATGTGCAGATTAGGTGGATTGGCCATGCTAAATTGCCCCTAGTGTCAAACAGGATGCAGGTTAGATGGGTTACCCATGGGAAAGGTGTGGTTATGGGGATAGAAAAATGTGCATTTTGGAGGGTCAGTGTGGACTCGATGGGCTGAATGGTCACTTCCTACACTGTAGGGACTCTATGATGGCCTAATTCTGCTATGATAGGTTGGCTATGACAACAATCCATAAGTATGGGTGATCTCGAGTCACCAGATGGGAATGTTGCCTTAAAACAGGCCTCCTTCTGTTGGGTTTCCTACTCTGTCAGTTGGAATGGCTGATGACTGTCCCACAACTGGAGTTTCAGGGATGATCCACGTTTGACTCATCACAACTTCATTGTGTGTTTCAAAATCAAATGCAGTTTAGTGATTTCCAGCTGCAGATAAGATTTCCATTCTGACTGACATAAAAGAGGAATCTCTTCTGCTCAGGAAAACTGGGTTTTGCTGGAGTCATGGAAAGAATCCGCTCTCCACACATTTGGGATTACTAACAGACAACAGTAGGATGCAGGAAGCTATTCACATCAGGAAGACATCACCCATGATCCCAGAGGAAAATACTCATCCTTTCCAGTGCCAACATTTTCCATAGATCAGCCGTTCCAATGATTATTGTGCACTTGGCGTCTCAAACAACTGTAAAACCACAATATCATCCTTTGAATAAACATGGTCATCCCCTGAGCCTACACCACCACCAGTAGGAACTTGTGTTGGTCAAGTAACAGAATGAAAAAAAGCCACAGAGCTCCTCTAATTCTCTAGAATCACATGATATCATCAAGTCTTTGTTTAATTGTTAGCAACTGAACATTACAGAGGCCTCACAATTCACCTCAGTTCCAGACCTCACCCACTCATCTCTCAGGACTCCTAATTGGAATTTCACGTCTGGGTCTCCCGTTTGATGAGCACAGCAATGTTAAATCAGAAACATTTTCTTTGAATGTTACACCTCACTGGGGAGCTACCTGGAAGTCAAACCCACCTCTCACATCACAAAAGTTAAAGATTTGAAAAAGTGCACAAAGATTCTTCACTTCTCCTGTCTTTTTGACTTGATTGACAGAAAACACAGACCAGGTCTTTGTACTTAACTGCAATTATTATTTACTACACACAACCACATTCTACCTACAAGTAAACAGTTGTGAACCATCAGCATATACTCTACTGAGCCACACACCCACTTCCACACCCACACACACACACACTTCCACACCCACACCCACCCACACACACACACATATACACACACACACATACTCAGACCCACACACACATACACACACACACCCACACACACATACCCACACACATACACACACACACGCCCACACACTCCCACACCCAAACACACATACCCACACACATACATACACACACACATGCCCACACACTCCCACACTTCCACACCCACACCCACATGCATACACACACACAGACACAAACATACATACTCAGACCCACACACAAGCATACTCACACACCCACACACACACATACACACACATGCCCACACACATACATACACACATGCCCACACACTCCCACACCCACACACACATACCCACACACACACATACCCACACACATACATACACACACACGCGCACGCGTGCGCACATACAGAAAGAAAAACAGAAATTGCTGGAAAAGCTCAGCAGGTCTGGCAGCACCTGTGAAGAAAAGAATCCGAGTTAACGTTTCAGGTCTGATGATCCTTGCACCAGTTCTGAGGAAGTGTCACTAGACCTGAAACATTAACTCTGATTTTTTTCTTCACAAATGCTGCCAGACCAGCTGAGCTTTTCCAGCAACTTCTGTTTTTGTTCCTGATTTGCAGCATCCAAGTTCTTTCGGTTTTCATACAAACATACAGACAAGTGGAATAAAAGTGAGTGTTACGGACAGAAGGAAAAACTAGTTAGGTAGTTCAGTGTGCCTGAGCTGAGTCTGGTGATCCTTTTGTTAGTCAGAATTTAGCTTCTCATTTGTCCTTCCCTGGATGCTTCCATTAGTTTACAAGAGGTACAGGGTAACTAGTTCACTGATATACCAGTTAGAAGTCACATAGAGTCATAAAGTCACACAACATGGAAATAGACCCTTCGGTCCAACTAGTCCATGCTGAACATGTTCCCAAAATAAATTAGTCCCATCTGCCTGCTCTTGTCTTACCACAACTGCTTTAAGAAAAATAAACTGATTTTCTTTCACCTTAAGGTGGCTTTTACTGCAGAGAATAGAAAGGCTTCCTGATCTGGTGGAGGTCCAATATCTCCCCTACAGCTTGTTCACAGCCCTAAGCTGTTCTGCTACCTAAGGACTACACATACCCACACACATACATACACACACACGCGCACACGTGTGCACATACAGAAAGAAAAACAGAAATTGCTGGAAAAGCTCAGCAGATCTGGCAGCACCTGTGAAGAAAAGAATCCGAGTTAACGTTTCAGGTCTGATGATCCTTGCACCAGTTCTGAGGAAGTGTCACTAGAGGCCTGTGTCATTGATAACTAGTCCACAGACCAATCAGCTCCTTGCACCCACCAAAGCTCCAGTTCTTCTGTAACCACCAATTGCTCAAAAAAGCAGTTGTGTAAACAGTGCTTACAATGGGTGACAACAAGGTGCAGGGCTGGATGAACACAGCAGGCCAAGCAGCATCATAGGA